AAGACAAAAAGGCAGTAATGTTTGTCTTGATCATGGGATGCCCAGTTTATGTATATAAACTATATATAAGCCTTATAGTTATGAATGCAAGAAAATGAAAAATTAGCCATGTAAAATTATATAACACAAAAAATGAACCCCATGATATATTGATTTTGTCCCAAAATCCCACACTGTGAATTCAATTTTATGTGCTTTTTACATATATACATATTCTAAAAGTACATATTTTATTTGATATGTATTTATACATGCAGTTCATATAGATTGAAATCAGTTGGAAATCAGGCACATCATTTGGGAGAGAGCCCAGACCCATTTGTAAACCCATTCAGTAAGGCATTAGAATTGCGAAGTTAAGATTACGGGGTTATTTACCCAAGTACTTACCCAGACCCGACGGAGGTCGTCGACCGGCAAACCAAAAACCTTCTTCGGTTTACTTACCCAGTCGTTTACGGAACCACTTACCCACGTGCCAGACCAAAAAATTTCTAATGCCCAATTTTTTGCTGGGAACTTGGGGAGGTTTTGAGTTATACTGTATTTTTAGTCTTGGAGCCAAGCATTTTTGTTGTGAGAAACATAGAAAAATCGCACTAAATTGCAAATGGTGATGTTCTGGGCCGTAAATTGCTCCTAAAACCTAACTTTACCTAACTGCCTCCCAAAATCAGTTTCAGCAGAATGCGGAAAAATGAAATTCACAGTTTCTGGTAGGTGCACTGAAAGTAGGTACTGAGATAACAGGAAAGTACCAAAAAAATTAGCTTCAGTCATGCATTCCATCACATATTGAACCAATCTCTTCATGCTTTGGGAGGATGATGTGTGGAACCACTGGAAGCATGTTTGTCATTTCTTTTCTTCCATGCTTCAAAAACCAGTCAGTCATATTGGAGATTCGGAATTTCTGACAGTGTCTGCCTTACATTCATAAAAAAAAGGTTTGTTGTACTGGAATTGGGAAGGTTTTTTATAACAAGATATGTTTCAACATGAACTCTATGGGGTTTCTGCGATGACTGGAGAAAAAAATTTGTTATATTGAACAATTTGTCGTAACTGTATTTGTGTAAAAGAGATTTTACTGTATCAACAAGACTTGGAGTATTTTAACTATCATGCTGACATGTCCGCCCGGACAGGTGCTACTATCGCACCGCTTCAATGGTCTCATGAATGAAAACGACGTACGAAGGGCATTAAGAAAATTTCCGTGGTACATTTGGCTGCTTTCTCCAGGAGGAAAAATTGATGAAAAATATGGTAGAAACAAAATGGGACCAGATCTCGGAAATTTCATCATACTGTACTGTACTTTTGATCAGATGCAATGGCTCATAAAAAAATTACGGAATTGAATTCTAATTCAAATTTAGTATAGCATCTCGTGACAACAAATCGTGTCCAAATTAAATTTTTCTTCGCAATAAATATATTCTTAGGGCCACTCGCAAACAGCCGTAATTACGTTTAAGTCTCAAAGCAAAAAATATGCAAACGTCCCGATAGTTTTGTTGCAAGAAGATTTAAATGTTTATGATATGATGCCAACAATTGTTTGAAAAAATCCAATGCGGCGTGTCTCATTTAATCCCTTTCCGAAAACGATGGCAAAATTCAAATTCTTCATTACAGTAATATCGTACTGCGCTAAAAAAATTCCCTTCCTTTTTTCAGTCATTTCAAATTGTGCTAAAATTGAAAAAATACATAAAACAAAGAACATGTTCTACAACAAAATTTTGTAGCAACAGAGCCGATGGTACTTCAAAATCTGATTTGAAAAATCCGCAAAAATGAGACTCTAATAGCCTGATTGCAGTTTTGCTTGAAATATAATTCATATTTTTTTAATTAATTTTTTTTATATTGCTGTAATGAACTTTTTCGCAGCGAGGTTCTCCTACAGTTGAAACTCTCTGAATAAAATTTAATGGGGACTCCGATAAATTTACTAAGAAATTTATGGAATATGACCGGATTTGTGCTGTATAATCATCAATTAAAGTGCTTTTTTGAAATAAAATTATTAAAATGGTTTATGATTCTCAAGTTGGCAAATCTGTTATAAAACATCGAAATTAAAATAAAAAGTGCACAGTATGCATTTTGAATAGGTGTACTAAAATGTAACACCATCAGTTCAACAGCTAAAGCTCAAAATAAAATGAAAATTAACTCGGAAAGATTTGAAACAAAATTTGCTGACGTTCAAAATGCGTTACCTTTAGCAGATCGGCCAGGAATTTACACAAAATTTGAGTCACGGAGATTTTTGTTTTACGGAGAATTTCGTCTTCGCGAGGGTAAACTATACATTATTTCTTTAAAAAAAAAACCCCCCATCGCAGGAAATTTACCATCGCCCCTCGTCATAGTGGTAAAAAACAAAACTTCCGGATCACACACGGTCAAGGACGCTATGTTACGCGTACCACGGAACAGCCTGCGGCAAGTCTGGGAATTTTGTTTTTTTATTTTCCAACGCTATATAGAAACGCGGACGTGGAAGACCGACGAAGAAGAATGAATGAAAGAAAGAAGAACACGAAAAAAAACAACAACAAAAATTGAAGTCTAGAAATGAGCTTCTTCACCTTGAAGCCAGAAGAATACCGCTCTACAGGGAGTATAAACATATACCCCAGGGATGGCTCAACAAAACAACCGGCTGAAGTACACCACGGTACAGTAAATTTCCTACAACCAGTGGTCATTAAAATATTCTGCTCCTTAATGTGTTTCGTGATGCGGAATTTTTAGATTGCAAATGGCAATCACCCAGCTTATTTGCAGAAATTGCAGAAATTTCATTGCAGAAATTTTCTTTTCTGAAATTGCAAATACATCAATATATCACAGTGAAATTAGACCATTACACGCGGATACCTTGACATGTGGACAATTTGACACAGGGACACTTGTTTTCCAATGAAAAATGCATAAAAAGGCCTGACATGTGCTGGACACTGACTTAACATATGGACATTGTGTGCTAAAATTTCAAATAAATTGCATGCCAAATTAACAAGAGATATTTCCAACACTAAAATCTATCTAAGAAAAGCTTTTTGGCATTTCTCTCATCAATTTACCATCCATTTGGCTAATTAAAAAAAATTACCCCCAGCTTAGACGGACTTACTTCTCTCTCTTTGACTTGAATGTCATTTTTACAGAAAATACCAACATTTCCATGTACTCTATGGAGGTACAGTATCAGCATTCAATTCTCCAAATGTCCATATTGGGTTGAAATATATTGATTGATTCAGTTTCAATCGGGAGACACATTTTTTTCAATTTTTTATGGAATCATGATGAATATTTTGTCCATAAAACACCAATTAAAATTACATAATGTGAGTCTGAGGTAAAATGAGACTCAACTTGAGGAAACTCTTGATGCACCAATTAGGTCCACATCTTGGGGTCTCACTACTGCATAAATACAAAAACCCACAAAATAAATGAAAATCAGTTTCTCGGAGTAATATATTTT